ACTCTTGTGGGACACTCTTGTAGGAAACTCCTGTGGGACTCTCTTGTAGGACACTCTTGTGGGACACTCTTGTGGGACACTCTTATAGGACACTCTTGTGGAACACTCTTGTGGGACACTCTGTGAGACACTCTTGTGGGACACTCTTGTAGGACACTCTTGTGGGACACTCTTGTGGGACACTCTGTGGGACACTCTTGTAGGACACTCTTGTGGGATACTCCTGTAGGACACTCTTAAGGGACACTCTTGTGAGACACTCTAGTGGGACACTGTTGCGGGACACTCTTGTGGGGCTCTCTTCCAGCTCCCCAGATACTCCGCGTACTACAGTTGTACTACAAGGTCGCCAGTTCTCAGCTTCCAGCTCCACAGATTGCTCCGCGTACTCAAGTTGTACTACAAAGTCGCCAGTTCTCAGCTTCCAGCTCCACAGATTGCTCCGCGTACTAAAGTTGTACTACAAAGTCGCCAGTTCTCAGCTTCCAGCTCCGCAGATTGCTCCGCGCACTAAAGTTGTACTACCAAGTCACCAGTTCTCATCTTCCAGCTCCCCAGATACCCCGCGTACTAAAGTTGTACTACAAAGTCGCCACTGCTCGCCTGCATTTCGCGTGCTCGACACGCACGATCTCCGCAGAGTTGCGCGGGCACCGGACAAATCGCACTCTCGTCTGCATTTCGCGCACTCGACACGCACGATCTCCGCAGAGGGTTGCGCGCGCATGGGACAAATCGCACTCTCGCCTGCATTTCGCACACTCGACACGCACGATCTCCGCAGAGGGTTGCGCGTCAAGTCTCCAAAACGAGCGTTCCGAGCGAGACTTCCTCAAAAACTCACACGTCAAAGTCTGCAAAACGAGCGTTTCGTACGAGACTTCCTCCAAAAGTCGAGCGGAAACACCCATCGGAGCACACACATCACGCAGCCCTGCCAAGCAGTTTCGCGATTCCAGCCCCTCCAAACAACATCCGCTCACACGCCAATCCCAATGTGACAGCGACATTCACCTCTACCACAACTCGCAACCTCACGATTCCCTGCGCCTGCCAGGAGAATCGCACTTCCACGCCTCAAAATCCGCACAAAGTCCTGCGCCTGCCACGAAAAGTGACAGTATCATCGCACGTGAGCTTCAACAAAATTTGCATCACACCACACGTTTGGAATGATTTCGACCCGTTCTGAGCACACTCCATCGCCATTTCAGCTGAGACTTGTCACGAAAACCGAGCTTCGATGCCACACCCTGAAACGCAAATCCCAATGGCACGGCCACATCCAACACCCCAAAAACATGACTCTCCAAACGCTAATCCCAATGGAACTGCGCAGCAATCTGCGGATCTCACAAAACGCTGCGCCTGTGCAGCGAAATGCATCACGTTTCTTGCGCGACATGTTGGTGTCATGCAAATCACAATGGAATAGCGGCGCAAACTGACACGTGACACGTCCATGCAAAGTCACTTGCAAAAGCTTCCCCCAATGGCAGCAAATTTGAGACGCGACGACGACGACACGACGACGACAGACGACGACAGACGGCGAGAGACGACGACAAACGACGACAAACGACGACACGCCCGCAGGCCATGCAAACACATGTCCAACCCCCACCCCCCAACTATAAACGGGAACCCTTCGCTACGCATTCGGGAAAAATGGACTCCAAAGTCAACCCAAGTGACTGAGTCGTGTACTCATATTTTCCTCCCCTTTCAACTGCCCCAGACTCCCTTTCGGCTTTTCGGATTAGCCCAGAAACCGTGGAAAAAGCCATTGCTCCACACACCTGCGGCGCGGCGCGGTGCTTCCCTGGGGCACCAGATGGCACTATGTCGAAGGAGACACCGGACCGTCTCAACTCTTCAAATGTTCATGCCTCACATCAACGGTATTGGTCGAATTCAGTACAAAATTCTTCGGTCGTTGCTTCGTCAGACTCAGACGCTCCCGAACAGAGTCAGATCGTGAACCTGTGAACCTAACAGGACCGTCAACCCACCCAGCCGTCGCCCGGAAAAGGCGCCCGGGTTGCATGGTCTCTCGACAGCATGTCTGGCGACGAGGACCGGCCCCGGTGACTCACCGTCAAGGGCGAACCGTGGAGTCTCCAGGAACCAACGGAGGGACACCGGTGGTGTCCGGCACTGTTCTGTGGGGTGAATTAGTGCCAATAGCAAGCTTCCTGAGGGTTGTGGGGTACCACTTGAGGTACCATAAGCCACTTGGTAATGATGAGCATGGCTTCACAAACCAAGAACGGTTCCCCTCTTCCTCCCCAACCCCTGGACTGGAACCCCTCATGAAGCACAAAAAAAAAGCAGAACCCATTCTGCAGTAGCACCTCCTTGACCCGCCTGAGAGATCTCCCGTTCCAGCCAGGCCCAGCACACCGATCCTGAAGCGCGGGGCGGAGCACTTGCGCCGAAGAGAAGAGGTTGGCGGCGCACGGAGACAGCACGTCTAGCTCGACGTCTAGACAGCGGCGCCGTGCGTGGCGAACGCGGCCGTCGACCCGAAGGAAGACGTGGGCGAACGAGTTCGCCCTGAAGCCCTGATGCCTGACTCGGTGCGAAGGCTAACGACGTTGCGGCCGTGTAACACATCGCCATCTTGGAGTCTTGGAGTGTGGGGTGCTGGGCACATACTGCAAGAAGAAGGCATGAAGATCAACGAACAAAATGCATGAACACGAAGGAACCACTGAACCTCTTCTGTGTCTTCGATCTTGGACCACCTGAACCTCTTGGGCCGTGTTCCCGCAGACTCCTCGCGCTCTGTGAACCTCCCCCTTCAGCCCATCTCCCCGGTCTCCGCTCGGGGCGCGTGGCAGGGCCGACCAGGCTGCGAGTTGCACGTTTCGAACCTGAGGGCTACGGGGTTGACGGGGTGAGAAAGACTGAACCGCGCAGGGTAGAACAGTGGTTCCATGTGGCACAGGATCCAGACAAATGGAGAAACGCAGCTATATATAACATATAGCTGTAACACCTGCGACGTCTTAGTTTCCTGGGACATCTATAGACTTCTTAGTTTCCTTGGATGTCTAATATAGATTACTATTGATTTGTTCAAGAATGTCTAGGGCAATCGCCTTTCGGCACGTTCATTCTCCGCAAGCTTAGGAAGACACAGGTTCAATGGACCACCTGATACGCACCAACACCTTCCAACAGGTTAATGCAGGCTCAGTTACAAAAATCATTTGGACTGAACAAATCCATTCATATATTTCATATGGAGGGTTTTATTTAATCACAAGATGCTACATTATCCTCTGGATGACCACGGCCTGTACGGGCCCAAACCCAAACACCTCGCGCTCGCGCTCGGAGACAGCTCGCGCGCGCTCGCGGAGCTTTGCGCCGGAGAGACCCACAGGGTGACCTTGGAGTTTTTCAGGATCTTCTCCGTGTACACGCCTCCGTCGACGTGGAGCTTTTAGCGCGGGTTGTGGAGCTTTTTGTGGAAGAAACACACCAGAGGATTGCGGTGTTGGGAGTTTCCATGAGAGATCCTGTTTCGGATTGTTTCAGTGTTCTTCTTGACTCAAAGGTCAGTTGTCCCTAGTCACCCTAGTTACTGAAGTAAACGGGTGAAAAAAACAATCCAGAGAGTTGTGTCACTGGTCTTCGTCCATCTCAATTGGACTTCTGTGGCTCATGGGCCGTTCAGAACTTGAGGTCTATGTCACCCTAGCAGTTTTAACGGTCATGTCACCCTGGTCCCACCTGGGCTTTCCTAGACACTCTAGAGTCAGTTCTGGGGTGGACACCACTTCTGCACATACGTGCATGTTTCAATTCCTACCCTGAGGCTGAGGGTATGCGATTAATCTATTTCAGTGTCTACAGTTTCATTCAGGGACAAGTGACAAGCGACATGTACCATGAATCAACAAAAAAAGCATCCAGGTCCAGAATCAGCAGGTCGTCCAGGATATTTGTGTGTCGATCACCTGATTTTGCTCTCACCACCTCCAACTCCCCTCCCTTCCCTCACCTTCCCCTCCCTCAGGCTCACCTGCCAATCCCGAGATGGCGGCGGAAATCACCGTGGCCACCAAGCCTCACGCGTGGCTCTCACTCTCGATGGTCGCCCCAGTGCGCCCGGCACTACCGCGGAGGGACACCTTTGCCACTGACTTCCAAGGGCCGCACATGGCCCATCAAAAACCAGGTGTTTCCCTTGCAAAAAGCATGGTTTTTGTACGTGAAAACCGTTGTTTTTCATGGCTTGGTTCGGGCCCCTGGTTTGGTGTTTCATTGTCTTAAAGAGACTCGTACTGGAGGGTAAGTCCAGCCAGGATGGTCCTGGTACCATTCCGTCTCTGCGGAGTCCGCACCTGTGATCTGTGCGCCCCAACCAGTGGCCAAGCCTCAGAACATGAAGCCGTGGAGGAAGGGTGAATGAAGGTGAATGGCCAAGGTGGGATGGGGTGAGAGCTACTTGTGGCACAAAAGAATCACCTTTTCAGGGAGTTCGGAGTTCAGCTCATTCTTTGAAAGCATGAACACATCATTGAAACAAACATATAACATTATATACAGGTTTGTAGGCTTCATTTGGGTCACATCACTTTGAAGCCTCCCCACTTCCACCTTTGCACCTTTGGCAGCTTCAAAGCGAAAGCGCGCCGAAAGCGCCGCCGTTCGGTTTCGGTGAACCACTGCGCCCCCCCCCACCGTCCACCACGTCGAGCGCCGTGCGGTGGGAGCTCGAGCCATCCTCCTTGTGCAGACTGCGTGGAGAGGGTCTTTTGTTTGCCGGAACACGTCACTCTCAACTGCTCATATCTGTTCATGGATCAGTTGGGACAGATATGAGCAGTTGAACAACACAGATCAGTTGGGACAGATCTCAACACTCATAACTGCTCATGTCTCTGTCATATCTACTCATATGTTTCCTCATATCTGCTCTTGGGAAGTGTTTTAAGTTTGAACCAACTCTTCACATGGAAATTGGAGTGCCGACTCTCGAACGCATCTCGGAATACGACCATGAGACCGACCATGTGACCTCACCGGGATGAACGACCGGGTCTGACCGGTCGATGAACGACGTCGGATGCAGAGTCCAATGGAACAGTTGTACCCAGATCCGAGCGATCAGTCCAAACTCGTGATCACCACACAGCACGCACACCTGCACCTTCTGTTCTTCCCCCTGTTTTTTTTTGTTCTTCATCAGACTCCTGGATCACTTGATATCATTTGATCACAAGCGCCACCCAAACCAGCCACCGTTGGACCCTGGTCGACCCCGCTCTTTAGGGTTCCAGTGAGGGCAGTGAGGGAACAGCAGCCTGCATCGAGGCCATGGACAAACCAAGTTCCTTCGACCCGGGACCCGGTTCACCCCGGACCTGGACGGCCCACTGTAGAAGCTTGTTTCAATAAACCCCACATCTGAAAAGGTGGTTCATGGCAGTTCTATTCTAAAATGGCCCAGGGGTTATTTACTCATATTTATATGATCAAGAGTCTACATGAATCCTTCAGCCAATGTTTGTCGCCCTCACACATGGAATCCTGGATGGTGAAAGGTCCATGCAAAAGCGGAAAAATGAAATGCGTGGTAGGCGTGTCGACTTCGCCTGAAAGGTGGCAAGCTGCACCAAAACCACGCCCAAGACCAGCAGCCTGGGACACGGCAAAAATGGGTTCAGGTTGAAGGAATTCTTGGGAAGTCAACAGTCATCTTAGATCATCTTGGTCATCTTACAATTTATTTTTGCGGCTGTTCTGAAGTGCAAGACCTCCCTTGGGGCAAGGTGTCTTTTCAGTCTTCTACATAGAGAAAGCTTGCTCTAAGTTGCGGCTTGCAACTAGAGAGCAGCGAAGTCTGCTCCAAGTGTAAGCTTGCTCGTCTGCTTGTTCATCTGTCTGTTCTTTGATCATCTTCAGCTGTGTCAGGGAAAAGCATCCTACGAACTTCTGCCAGCTATCAGCTGGCAATCAATAAGTCAATAAGTCAATTGTTCCAGTCCCAGCAGCAAACGATGATGATCATTGGTCAGGGTCTCAATCAAAAGCAGTTTCAACCTGTTTCATTGCTAAGAGCAACTGACAGTCCGACAGTCCCAAGCTTTCCTCGAATGGGTAAAGTATTGGGAATTGATGAGCCCTAGGGCTCCTGGCCCACCTCCTTGTCGAAGATGGTTGGGGTGGGTGCCAGGGGGGTCTAACCACCGAACCTGAGGATATGGGCCAGGAGCCCTAGGGGAGGGACATCGTTTTACCTTTGCTTCGTTCCAGGGGTCATGTTCGACGGGGTGGTGTGCCGTTTCGTCCCATCCAGGGGCTGTGGATGTTGACAGTTCGGGCACCCAACTCCGACCTCCGTTCGGAACCGGCACCCCGGGCCTTTGTGACGTGACTGGTGCGACTCGTAGGGAATAAGGGAAGTTTTGCCCCCAATAGAGATTCTATTGGATCCAGCCACCCTCAGCCACCCTGCGAGACGCACCAGTCAGTTTGTGACTGCTGGTTGATTCTCTTTTCATGATCGCTTCGATCTCAGTGGTCGGCCCCAAGGACAGCCACCGCTGCACGGTGATCTGGCGACCCAAGATGAGCACCTCAGGCGTTCGGAGACGGACCGAGTGTGTTTTTGGAAGACACCGGCCGACACGGAGCCACATCCTCCTGTGGCTCCGTGGGGTTAGTCACTATCATGGACGATCATCCACCATCAAAAGCTACGTAGCAGCTACATGGTCGGGATGGTGGCATGGTAGCCTTCCAGTCGCTTCCAGTCCGGTCACTTTGGACCTTTCTCTCCGATCGGAGAAAGACCGAGACCCCGGTCGACCTGTGCGCGAGAGGTAGGAGGTTTAGGTTTGGAGTGAAGTGGAAACCATTTCGATGACGGGAAACCACATGAGTGAGTCATACCACCACCAAGGAAGCACGGGAACCACCAGAGTCTATAGCGCAAGAAATATCAGAACCCCTTCCATCAAACCGAGGCAAGTGTTGTTCCAAAGTGTCGCAAGCAATCAAGATCGAATCGAATCAGGTTGAAAGCGTTCGTTCTGGAGTCGCGTATCTGCTTTTTCAGTGCCGGGCAAAGCAAACGGCTGTGCTCAAAATCTTCAGCTGATAGGTGGCCTGCAGCTGTAAGGTCTGAGGTTTCTTGTGATGAAAATAAATGAAATCCACCAAAAAAACAGGGTATTGTGTATGCACCTCAGCTGGATCCAAACTGATCCACCTCAGCCTCAACCACCCTAAGAATCCAAATCCAACCTCCTTCGGTTTCTTCGGGACCTCCTTCTGTGGCACAAATGTGAAGAGATGGGACCTCGCTACTTCCGCGGGAGAAAGCCCACTCGACCCGTCGCTATTTTTAGACTCCCAGGCAGGGCTCGGATTCTTAGGGTATATCCCCAAAGGCCCCTGGCCCATCTTTTCAGGTGGTTAGACCCCCCTGGCACCCACCCCAACCATCTTCGACAAGGAGGTGGGCTAGGGATCAGCGTACATCGATCTCTTGGGCTCGAACTCAGTGCTGATCCATGTCGATCCCTGCACACCATGTTTGTCTGGAAGCGATCGCCGTCTTACTGCAAGGCTCAAGAAGCATTGCTCTCTCTACGGCATCTCCAAACATGAAGGAGACACTGGCTGGCACGCTCAAACGAAGACTTCCTTCCAATTGCGTTGGGAAGAACTGCTGTTCGCGGAAGACTGGGCTGGGCCAGCATCCCAAATTTTCACCGTCGTGTCGTCACTTGCCGAGGCAATGTATCTGCCACATGGTGAGAAGGCCACCGAGTTCACCGAATGGCTGTGTCCGGTCAAGGTGTGAAGACACTCTCCACTGGCAAGATCCCACACTCTCACAGTGTTGTCGTCAGCCCCTGAAGCAAGCTTGCTGCCATCTGGAGAGAAGGCCACTGAAGTCACGTAAGTTATATTTCCAGTGGAGTGCTGGCCCAGCGTGCGAAGACACTGCCCAGATGCGGCATCCCAAAGTCTTATTAGAGCAAAATCCGCATGAAGACCACTCGGACCACTCCCCGTGGCAATGTGCCTACCATCTGGGGAGAAGGTCAGCGACTGCACGACGTAATCCCGCCCGTTCGGTGCGGTCAGATTGTAGAGACACTCCCCGGTGGCCAGATCCCACACCCTCGCAGAGTTGTCAAGATGGACTGAAGCCACATGGCTCTGATCGGCAGGCGAGAAGGCCACGGATCTTACTCCACAAAGGTTCTTGTTCCTGGCCAAGGTCTGAAGATGCTGTCCGCTGGCCGCATCCCAAATCTTCACAGGGCTGTAAATGTACAGGATACCTGTGGCAATGTACCTGCCATCTGGGGAATAGGCCACCGAACTGACGTCGTTGTAGGCAAAAGCCGTGTGAAGGCACTGCCCCGAGGTAGCATCCCAAATCTTCAAAGAGCCATTGCCACTGAAGTCACTGGCACTCCCTGAGGCAATCTGGGTGCCATCTGGGGAGAAGGCCACCGAGTTCACTGCAGCTTTGTGCCCCTTAAAGAGCCGCAAGCTTTTCAAGGAGGTTGCATCCCAAAGCCGCACCAGCTTGTCATCTGTTCCGGTCACCAAAGTGGCTCCGTTGGGGGGAGACCACTGCACCGAATAGACCCGCGACCCGGTTGGAATGGTCCTCGGGGGCTCCAGAAACTCCGTGGGGCAAGACACACTGAGTTGGTCACCACTGGCCTTGGCCCAAGCTGCCCATGAAATCACCGCGACCACCGCCCGCCAAGAACACATGGCAAAACGAATCGCTGCACGGCTGTCCGCAGAACAGCTCGAGAGCTGCGAAAAACATCCAAACAAACATGCAATCGGGTGGTTCAGTCCAAGTTCTTGATTTCATCAAACCATGCAACCGTGTCTCAAAAAAACAAGCACCGGACATGGTGCATATACAGCTGTGTAAAAGCAAAATTAGATATACCCGCAGGAAAAAAAGAACATAAAACATCTGTGCATATCACCATCACACACAATCCTTTTGCACCAAGTTGTCTGAGAACATGGTTCCCTCGCATGCGGCCATGTTCCATCCGTCTCTGCAAATCTGTCAAACATCGTTTGCCAAAGGTGGCTCTGAATTGATCAGAGTCAAAAGCCGCCAAACCATGCCAAACCATGATAGATTCACATCCCACAGTGGAATCTGTTCACTTTGCACACTCCATTCCCGTTCACCACTGTTAAAAGCCCCGACTCCTAACCCCCAACCCCCAGGCCGTGTAGGTGGCGGGCTCCAAATAAGCTAAAGCCACATACCTCAACCGCAGGGATTTTTCGGAGTTCGACAACGGTTCATCGAATGAGAATGCCAATGTCCAGCTAGCGTGGTCCATGTCCTTGAACTACGGATGCTCGGCTCGTCCAAGGTGCTGGAGATTGTTCTGTACCAAGTACAGCAACGCTGGCCTTGGCGGGTCCGCATGGCAAAGGACGTCGGGTCCGCCGGCCCCGGGTCCGAAACCCCATCCGAGTCGTGCTGTTCAGGCCGGAGCGGAGAGTCCTGCCTACCTCAGCTTCACGATTCGAAATCGAACCAACGTCGTGTTCAAACTGGTTCCAATTGCGACACCTCTTCTTCGCCCTCTGAGTCTTCACTTCTCTAACACATGGAAAATCACATGACATCACCGAACTCTGACGCCGAGTCAAGGCAATCGCTGCGCCACGCGACTTGGGAGACCCCGGCACCGAGCTCTGCAGCAACTCCACCGGGTTCAAGGCACCTGCTTCGACCAGTCGTGCACCGCTTTCTCCGCCGGTACGTCAAGTCAACTCGGAGAGTGGGGTGGATCTGAACGGCTTCGCGACCTGGGAGTCATTTCTGAGACTTTCCCGGACCGACCCTTTAACCTGATCTGTCATGACGGCCTGATCGAATGTGAAGACGACCTCATGCCAAGCCTCTGACAGAAGCTGTGCCGCCCTTCTGGTGACGTTGCGCACTCCAGGTGATGTTACCCTCCTTCTTGGAGAATTAGATGATTCCGATCTAAGCACTTCAATCCACGGTGAAGGAAGGAGGGCACAAGGCTTGGGAGGCTCCGAGTCAGTCGACAGACACGTCGGTCGGTCCTCGACGACGACAGACAGACACGTCGATCGGCGTCTTCGACTCGTGTGCGTCGTTGATGGCTAGTGCACCGTGTACGTCAACCACTGCAGGTCTACCATCTACAAGCACAAGCCTGAAGGAGAGGGTGTCGCATGTGATGGTGAAGTGGAAATTAAGAACATGTTTTTGGATCGAAGAATGAAGGCATGTATGAAGGCTATCCCCTTTGTTGAAGTTTGATTCCATCTCTTTGTCGTGTCATCATGTGTGATCCATGTCGGTCCATTTCTAAATATGACACGTGTGTGGCAATGGGAACAAACCGCTTTGCACAAAAAACGGAACGTTTACCACTGGAGTCTCACCCTCACCACACCACCGTTCTTTTCCACGGTGACTGGAAGACGCGCCTTGCATGGACTCGCCCAGAAGAAAGGCCAAGACCAAGCTCGCAAGGCCCTGGCGGCGCAGTGGTGCTTCGTCCATTGGATGACGGTCCGCTTTGATGGTCCTGTGTCACAGGTGTAAGATCAATTTAAAGATCCATATGATCCATTTATTGAGTGGACCTGGTCCATGTTGCAGGCGTTGGATGCATGAAATATCATGAAATGCATGCTCATGGCTCAGCGCAAGCTCCTGTATGGCAAGACATTCCTTCACTTCCCAGTCCCATGATCCTTGGAATGTAGCCATTGGGGTCTCCCAACCTCCACAAGTTCGGCTTGGTCGGCCACTGACTTCCCTGGTTAACAGTCAACATATGATAGAAACATTTAAAAAAGTATTTGACCATCCTGCGGTCCCCTCAGTCGCCCTCAGTCATGATTCTGAGGAACCCATGCCCTTCTGAGCCTCATCCGTGCAAAAATAGATCCAAATAGCTGGCTCTGACAGATCTTCCCTTTTCGATCGGAGTGATCTTCGGTGAATCCAAATGAACAAAATCCAAATCCAGGACCTTCCGAACTTGCCCGGTGGTTTTTGGACACCAGGACACTTCAGCTCAGCTCTACGAGGCGATTGATAGACTCTGGGTGAAGGTGGATGAAAACATCCACCTACGATCCCCCCGGACGCTCCTTCCCTCGCTGATCCAATCGATCGACGCTCGACGCGACAACACCCGGTGCCACCCCGAGACAACTGCCTTGAAGGCTTCCTGGACGATCACACCCGTCTGCGGTACCTCGTCGACCGCGAGGCGCTGGCTCGGAGCGAGGCGCTTCTGGTTGCCAGCAAGAGAGACATGTAAAAGACATGTTGGGAGCCTGATTCATATGGGTGTGCAGCTCAAATGGCAACGCCCCTCTGGTTTCGGTTCGGGAAATTGATCAGTCTACCCAGCCAGGAAAAAGAAAAATGAAAAAAGAAGGGGGTCCCCCCTACACCGAATCCAGACCCTTTGCAATCTTCTTCGCTCCCCCCAAAAATCTGAATCTGGACCCGAACCGCCCATGGGTTACTACTAGGAACAAGGTTCGCTACCAGTAACAAGGGCATCTCTACCAGGAGCGATCGGACGCTACTATCGGGGGCTCCTGGCATCGCGACTCGAACGGAGCGAAACTGGCGCTTTCGGTTCTTCCGGACGTTGAGCCCCGGCCGTTCGCTGGGGTTCTTCGACCATCCCGGAAAACAACAACAGCGATTCCCATGTATACCAGGACCAGGTGGTTTAGGCCGTTCAGGTGGTTTTGGGATACCAGGACACTTTAGCTCTGACAACGAGGCTATTGATAGACACCTCAGTCTTGGTGTCGGTCCTGGTAGAAGGGGATTTACAATAATTTACCATGATTTACCCATAGGGAAAATCAACCGTGGTGGAAAGCCTCTTAGAAGGCCGTTGCTTCGGGTGGGATGTCTATCCATCGCGACATCGACTCACTCGGATCTGAACATGGACCAATGGACTCCAATGGACCAAACCGAGAATCTCCCAGGTCTCACATCCCCGGGTTGGCCATGCTTGGCCATGTGGTTTTGGACATGTTGGATCTAATGGCATGGCTTTGGCCTGTGTGCTTGGGCAAAAACCACTTCTTCAGATTCTTAGAGCTGTCACCAGAGCTGCTTCTTGCAGAGGCCTCCCTAGAATATATATATATAGGCCTATCACGATGGCTATCACGAGTGGATGATCACAGCACAGTTGATGATAAGCCCCAGAAGTATGTTTACAGTACTGCGGCACTTCACTCGACATTCACCCTAACTCATCAGACCAATCTTTGTAAGAGTCTCTGACATATCCAGAATATCTCTGTCTCAAGTACTGCGGCACCCACGGCGCGACGTACACCGGCGACGTCGACTCCCAAGGCGCCCAATCGGCCGAGTGTTTTCGGCTCTGCTTCACCTGGAGCGACGGCGACCGTGCTGGCGTGGTCGGCCACCAAGCGTGGATTTGCTTCGGTATTTTTCAACTCCAAATGATCGACAAGACTGGATTTGTTGCTTTTCAGGGCACAAGTTATAAGACTTGGGGGGTGAATTCGCAATAACGCTATATGACAGTATACAGTAACTATATATTTTGAGCCCTTACAATCAGATCTGTCCCTTATCATTCACACACGCTAGGAGTTTCACCTGTAAGCGCCGATGATCAGACCGGATCGCATTCAAAGGGAGCTTCCGGACAGTCAAGAAACCCCTGAAGCTCAGGGCATTCCTCCGCGACTTGATCTATATCTGGTCAATCATGCACATGTGAAAGTGTCGACCTCTAAAAGTTCAAGACGATCGCCTCCAACATGTTGTAAGGTGAAGTTTTGCCATGAACATCATGTCGCTCTTGCTGGTGCAACATCACAAAAAGGTGATGTTTTTGCCCAAACCACGTCAAGCAACATCACTAACACCAACTCCTCCATGATCCTCCACATCGCACCAACTCCATCCAGCTAACACCCCCGCGGCCGGCGGCTGGGTGCCCCTCACTAGAATCGCACAGGCGCAATTCTGCAGCACCAGGATCGACAGCAGCGACGCTTTCTGCACCTCGGTGGGTGGAGAAAGCGCCCCCTGCTGACTGGTGAAGGGTGGTGGGACCGGTGAAGGGGGTGGGATGCTGAACTTTTGACGTGGTGGCACGGGTGATGCATCATAAGCTGTCGCAAGGTACTTACATAGATCCTTGAGAGAGCAAACACTTTGGGTAAAGAGAAAGCAACATAAAATACCAAGTATCCCACTATATAAATAGCTATATAGTAGGTTGGAGGCCATCGCTACTAGTAGCAAGAAGCTATTAGTCAGTATCTCCTGGCATTACTACTAGCAAGAAGCTACAAGTACTAGTAGCTAAGTGCATCGCTACTAGTAGCTTCAACGTGTCCAAATCACGCCGTCTCAAAACACAAAGCGTGGGGTGCCCGGGCAGTGCTGGAGCGAGCACCGCTTCCAGCAGATGCGCTGCCTTTACTTTGAACCGACATGGCCTGGTCGACCGATCGACCGATCGACCGATCGACGGCCAGGAGCGGCCAGGAGCGACCTTGGAGCCTGAACGGACGCGAACCGGGCTGTGGGGCGGGGACCCTGGCATCAATACTAATTAGTCAGTAGCATTCATTCTTACTAGTCATAAGAAGCTACGACCGGGGCGACCCTGGCAGCTGAGCTGGCCTTCGAATCTGTTGGGCCATAGATGTCCAGACCCTATGGGCACGCCCAAAAATCACACCAATATTCTGGTACCGACTAGCAGGAACAGTTGAGCTGTTGAGATCTGCGAGGGTTGTTGTCCACGAAACCACCTGAGCTGCAGTGAGTGGGCTACAAGCCAATCAGGGCAAACATTCACCAGCCATCGCATAGAAAAACGAGAAAAAGCATGAAAAAGCAACCAGGGTGAATCATGGGCGAGTCAAAAACTCCAACTCCTTAGGTGAACACCCTGAAAACACACAGAATTGTAGAGGAATCCGCATAAATCCATCTTCACTCACTCCGAATAGGCGCCGTCAACCTCCGTCGAATCCGACGTCAGGCCCCGGATGGGCGAATGGATGAAAGTTCCAGAACCAGCAGCCACCTCTTGGTCTGAAACAAACAGAGCTTGGAAAAACCTGTGGATGACGAGCGATTCATTCACCTTTGAAAAGGGGGGTCAAACAATCAGGCGAAGAGTTGTCCCAGTATGTCCCAGCCATTCCCATCTTGCAGAGCTGATCCATGCGCACCGGCACACTGGGGAGACCAGGCATCCCAAATACGTATCAAATGTAAACTGACTAATTTTACGCTTGGTCACATCCAAATCAAGTAGACGCTGTGGCGACTCTAAAGACCATCCGAATGGTAGCGGTGCTGGTGTTGAGTCACTCTGCTTTGACCCACAGTCACTCAAAACCAAGCACCTGAAACCTGCACCTGTGAACCAAGCTGAAATAAACCACCAGGGCCATAACTGATGTGAGTGGACATTGGCTGTGGGTCATGGCACCAGGGTACATGGTGGACCAGGGCTGGTTTTGACCCAACCCCGTACCTGTCGACACATGTATCATGTACGCTCCAGAAATTGTCACCACCACACCACGATCTCTCCCCCCAGTTCGCCCCGGTCACCCCGAACCTTGTTCCGCACGGGGGCCGTTTCGGAGACACTTGTTGGGCGGCGACTTCGCTTGCTTGCTTCTTTGTCCATGTGTTGCTGGGTTGAACGGCTCTGAGCACATCTACTGGCCCGCAACAGTCAGTCTTTAGGATGAAGCCTGTATCCTTGCGAGCTAACATGTAGAGTCTCCCTCCGTGTTTTGGCCTAGATGGAAAGCAATCTGGTAGCAACAAGTTGCTTGACTTCTTGGATAGTTGGTTGGTCAACTGCACCTTCCAAGTATTAAGCTGGTCTAGTTCGGACCCACAGTGAACCCACAGGCTCTGCCATATTCATGTGCTTATCTGCATTATCTGCATCAATATGTCCTGTGTAGGTCGGCCGCCTCTATCCTAAAACTAAGCTGAGCATAGCTGAGCCAAGTGTTGACGGATCGAAGAACGATTCAGCGACCAAGGAGGAGAGCATCCAGCAAACTCGCGGACACTCGCATAACGTCATCGTCGTGGGTTCTCGCCAAATGATGGAATCTCTGTTCTGGGAGTTCAAGCATGGGGTGCTAGCAGCAAATTCGGAAAGAGACAGCTTGAGCTGGTGACAGAGACAGCTTTGTCAACACTGACGCAGCAGGAGCAGCTGATCCTGTCCCAAATCGTGCGGACCTTTTGGATCTCCTGCTGTTCTCAGCTCCGCAACGATCCGTGCGAAGCGCGTGCCTTGGCGCCAGATGCGGGGTCACTTGGCATGCGGGGTCACTTGGGTTGTTCCAAATTGCGAGGCACCCCAGTTCAACCCCTGGGAAAAGAGTGCATTGGAGCCATGCAAGCCTCATAGCTGTTCACTGAGAGAAATCTTGGAGAAGAGTTAGTTTTGTACAGCCGGTCATAGGGATCCACAGGTCCTGGCACCTACATAAAAGTGTCTCCAATCACCTTCTCAAAGGGTATGTGGATCCATACAGAGGTACCTGCCGTGTCTCAACCTGGGCTTGGCATCCGAAAGCTTCGTGTCTCTCAAAGAAAGCTGAAGATTTGGGGATCCAAAGCAAGTGACATCACACAATTATTAATGACATGGTTCTAAAAATGCCTTAGGAGCTCTGAAAATAAAAAACAACAGAAAGGAATCCTATAGTCTACACAAACATTTAAACACTGGGTCTTTTGCTTTTGAGGGAAGGGATCAAAAGCAAAGAAGACCTTGGGATACCTTGAGTTCTGGGTAGTGTAGGGTGGTCATGCCAAACACAAATTGGAAACGTTGGGAAGGTAGGGTAGGTGCAGTGGGTAGGGTCATTGTGGAGACTCTGCAGGATAAAACCAAAACGCCGCTTAACATGTCAATCTTCTATGCAAGCAGTGCAATTGGCAGATTTTGTGGCGCGAGGGGGGGGTTGGCGGGCAGGGCACGGCACGCCTTCCTTCGTTCCTTCCTTTCCTTCCTTTCCTTTCCTTCCTTTGCAGTTCTTTGATCCCTGTCCCATTTCTGCTAGCTTCTTGTTCCCTTTGTAGCGATGCCAGGGTCGCCCCGTTCGTCGCGTCCGATCGGCTCCTCGTAAGGCCTGTTCGCCCCGTTCGTAGCTTCTTGTTCCTACTCCCATGTCTGCCAGAAACACCCAGGGATTTCAAGACAACCCAAACAATCCCAGACACTCCATGTATGGCATATTCACCTACATTGACCCCCGACTTCAACCACCCCTGGCCGTTTCTCGGCAGTCCTATGCCAGTCCCATGGAGTGTTTGGGCATGCTACATCAGAAGCTCTGCACGGTGCAGGCCAGTCCAAGGCACGGAGGTCTCCGACGACGACGTGGTCGAACGGCAGCACCTGCGACCGTGCTGCCAACCGGGCCACGGTCGTGGTCTAGCGCATGGCACTCTACGGTGCAATTGGGAGACCCTCTACGGGTGTTGGCCCCCTATTTGAAGCAAAACTGTGCTCAAAGTATCCAAAAGCTAGCTATATACCTTGTGGGGAAACAACCTTTGTCGAAAATATGAGGAACACAAAAAGTTGATCATGCATGGATTTCATGCCGATCCCTACCAACCCTATCACGTGGTTTTGAGTGCATTCTCTGGTTTCTCTTTGGTCGTTGGCAGTTCAGAAACAATTTGGCACCCAACACAAATCCAAATCGCCATTCTTACCTTCCTTGCTAGTGCTAGTTCAACACAGTGTCATGTGTTGATCTTTGAAGAGAGGTTTTGTCATCGTCTTCGGAAATCGCCTTCATGCCAATCAAGCGTCCACTTCCCATGATCAAACGTCGACGTCCGCATGGGGAACCACAACGGAAAAAATATTCTGCTTTCCCCACTGCCAGAAACCTGCCTGGCGGACATACTTGGAGACCTTGATGGCACCCCTATAGGAACATTTTTTGACAAGTCCATTCTGAGGCACTAAAGTACCGCATCGCACAGTGTTGAATACTAAGTGATTGACACAAACATGAAAAAACATCGGAAACAAACATAAATATATGACTCACATGTTTGACTCCTTCTCTTGAAACAATATGAACTGAACCAACCCATTCGTCCATTCTTTGGGCCGTTCTTCTCCTTCCGCTCCCTGCACACGGCCGGGCCCGGACCACGTGACCCTGCCTCCACGTCCGCAGCGCGTGTCGGCACCATTCGCGCCTTGACCTGCCAAAACGGTGAACGAGTCCGTCGAACACGCGTCTTCACGACCTGTCTGGGACTGGCATGGGACTACCGAGAAACGGCCAGGGGTGGTTGACAAGGCTGTGAAATGTAGGCATATGACTCGGCATATATGGTCCATTGTGATTCTATACATGGAGTGTCTGGGGTAGTCAAATCTTGTCTGAGTCAAAGCTTGTCCGCCCCCCCAGCTTTTTCTCAGGAAAGGCCTGAACAAAAGTGACCTCAGTCCATGGCTGTGATGTCACACAAGACCACAGTCCAACCGAGACGACAACCCCTCGGCACCGCCTTGGCATCGGGACAAATCCTCTGCAAGCACAAGCACTGCGTCTCCTGCCGCAGGTGAATCACAGGCGGTGAATCTCCATCCGACCCGCCGGAAAGGCCGATCTCAAGAGCTCCGAAGAGCAATGGTTTGCTGCGTCTGCACCTGCGTGGTGCGTTGCACCTGCAAAAACGGTCCTTGCACATTTTAGAGAGACATAGTACCTAAATTGTGGACACACAAGTTAGCGATTAATTTTGGATACAAGAACCGCTCCTCCCAAAAAAGAACCTCTTCAATTGCGAGTAAACAGCGAATATGTGTTAATATTTGTTATGTACTTGTGACCCTTTGATCTTGGGGACTTGGTCCTATATGTGTCCTAGTCTTAGCTTTGCTCAGCATTGTTTGCATTTTTGGGGGTAAGCTTAAGGTCCTGTGATTGTGCATGGAGAGATTTCAGTAAGGCAACGTCCAAGGATCCTGCTGGATGGTGTTTAAACATGCCCATTCCACATGATTTGGTTTGAGTTTTATGTTGGGGTCCAAATAGAGTAATTAAAGGACCATTTAGTCGGTTCATTCTCGAGATGAACTGGAAGAGCTTAATCGCCACTTGGAAGTGTACATGAGTGTAAAAATGTTGGGCACTGCCGGGAATTGATTTGCGACAAACAATGTCACTGCATGGCAACTAAATCGTTCAATGAGATGTTCATTATTACTATAGAGGACAAAAACAATCCCCGCTAACAAAGCCATTGGAAACAAAACAATGTTCAATGCAAAAATTAAATGTTCAAATAGTTTCGCTCATTTTTCTGGCAAAACCGTCCGCATGCTAGGCCATGTCAAAAACATTGGCCGAAGCAGCCAAATAAAGAAAAGATCAGCCATGACAACTGTCAAGACATTGGCCGAAGCAGCCAATTGGCCGAAGCAGCCAAATAGAGAAGAAACCAGCCATAACAGCGTCAAAAACATTGGCCGAAGCAGCCAATTAGAGAAAAAGTCAGCTATGACAACTGTGTCAAAAACATTTGCCAAAGCAGCACAATTGGGTCAATTGGAGAAGAACTCAGCTATATAAACAGTCTGAAAAACATTGGCCGGCGCAGCCACATAGAGAAAACGTGAGCCTTAACAACAGCGTCCAAAACATTGGCCGAAGCAGCCAACTCGAGAGGAAGTCTCATTGGCAGAAGCAGCCAAGAGAAGAAGTCAGACGTCATTGGCCAAAGCAGCCAAGAGAAGAAGTCTGACGTCATTGGCCGAAGCAGCCAAGAGAAGAAGTCTGACGTCATTGGCCGAAGCAGCCAAGAGAAGAAGTCTGACGTCATTGGCCGAAGCAGCCAAGAGAAGAAGTCTGACGTCATTGGCCGAAGCAGCCAAGAGAAGAAGTCTGACGGCATTGGCCGAAGCAGCCAAGAGAAGAAGTCTGACGTCATTGGCCGAA